AAAGCAGTGGGTGTAGGATTAAACTGGATCTTTACATTGGATATAAGCAAGATCTCCTAGGGGCAAATGGTCAAGTATTTGGGATAATCCAACATGGATATCATCTTTAGAGAATAATAATCATACCTTTGCCTAAAAAGGCTAAAATACTTTTGAAACTATAAGATAATGTTTACCTTCTCAAACACCAAAACACATCCATTAATAATTAGTCTACACAGCTGCATGGTGTGAAAAAGAGTAAGTTCTTCCTGCAGATTAAGGCTCTAAGTGACAGCTTAGATTTATAATATGAATGGACTAGACCTCAGAGATGGAGTCTTTATCATTACCCAGAGACCAGGGATCTGGGTAATAATTTATCTGACTTTTGTCTGCCATTTGTCTGACCTGTGTTTTTAAATTTTTGTTGAGGGTCCATGAGGTGTTGAGCTTTGTACGGAACAAACATCAGGACCTCAACTGGCTAGAACTGTTCAGAAGATATACACAGTATTCAGAAAGAGTAGCTGACCTAATTAGGAGTCGGGTATTCAGCATAAACACAGCCCTGAGTGTTAGAGCATGAAGGATCTTGAAGGTCACTGGCTTTGCCTTTTGCATGATAGGCTATTATGGGCCCAGGGAAATGACCCTTGGCCCAGAAGTCAGGCCAACCTGGGTTCAAATCCAAGCTCTGCCAGTATCTGCTACATAATCTTGGGCAAATTACTACCCTCTCTGAATCTAAATTTTCTCATCTGTAAAAATGAAATGTCCCTGCAGAGCTGCTGTGCTTATTACAATATGTGTAAAGAACCTTCCACGGTATGTCACCCCCAGTGAGTGTGGTCATTACTATGGATAAGGACACTGAGGCTCAGAGAGGTTAAATGACTTTCCCAAGATCACAGAGCCAGTTGGTAGATCTTCTTAACTTCTAGGGCAGTATGTTTGCTACTACAAGACAAAATTCTGTTCTTAAGCCTCCCGAATCCATACAGAACTAAAGGAAGGAGAAGTAGTACTGGATGAAGTGTGTCTTTGCTACCCTTCCATCTCCTTTTCCAGTCCCTCTTTCTTCCTTTTCAGTGCTTCTCCTCCACACCCTACTCCATGCTGTCCCCTGCACCCATGGCACCAATGCCCACAGCCTCACCCATCCAGAACACTCCAAATGGCTCCTTACTGCACCATGCCCTCCTTGCAAGGCCTTCCTTTTGCCGCCTCCTGCATCAGAGCCAACCTGGCCTTGACCTGCTGTTTTTCCTATTTGATAGGCTGGAAAGCAATTTGTTAAAGCAACCCCTGTGAACATGCCAATGAACGTAACATGGCGTGGTAGAAAAGTGGTGGATATGAAGCAAGAAGACCTGGAATCTAATCTATCACCACCCTCCTCTGAGGCCTTTGGGAAGCCACTTCTCCCATGGGGTTCCAGTTTCCATTAAGGGATCACTCGGGGTAATTCTAATTTTGATATCCTGTGCCTCTCTGACTTAATGT